TGAGAGAGATGTTGTAAGCATTTTTTCGTTGCCAAACACCCCATTACAATCACTTAAACAATAGTTCCATAAACTATTATTCTTGACTTCTTTATATGATTTCAATCATCATGGCCCTCCAAGGAAAATGGTACCTAAAATGTTGCCCGAGACGAAAATGACTTTGACACCCCTGATTTAGAGTGTTCAATCAGCCTGCCATTTATGTTTTTGGAATGTGGGAGAAAACCGCAGTACCCGGAGAAAACCCGCGCATGCAGGGAGAACATGCAAACAGAGCCGGAATCGAACCCTGCACCTCCGACGGAGGTCGACGCGCGAACCACTGGACTACCGGGGCCACCCGCCGGCTTATGTGACAAACGATATATTCGATGGGCTTGCTTTTCCTTTCGGTCCTTGAAAAACATTCCGGGTAAAGCAAGTCATTTGTTTGTTTCAGGCCATGGAAACGATTCTCCCAATATGTATCGACCTGACTGAGGCAAAAAAAAACAACAACAAAAAAAAATAATCATTTATCATCAGGATAATTGCTTGATGAGTCAAACTCGGATCCTTAAAAAAAAAAAAAAACACTACTGTGACTTATTGTGACAAAATCTCACTTTTGTAGGCATGCCTGGACATTAAAAGAGACACTGTGTATCAGCACATGTAATTACTTGCGCTGTATAATGGATTTGCTGCGGCGGAGAATAAAGCGGCGGCAGCGGCGGCGCCATCTGACGTAGCACTGGTCGTTTGATGTTTTTCGGTATGTCGAGCATGCACACGCCTCGCAGATTCACTCGGTTAATTGGCGCAACAATTGCGGAGATCGACCGATTTGCCGCGACGGCGGATACCTCCGTAGGAATGTCGGCATGGAGATTGGCCAGCAGCGGTTTGAGCGAAGCCGAGTTGTGCAAAGCCTCGCCGGCGCAGACAGTTGCGACATGGTCGGGGTTGGCTGTTTTTTCTGAAGTCGAAAGCTGTGAAATTTCACCTGGTTTCCGCTGAGTGCTGCGATTGTTTTTTTTTTTTTCGATGGCGGACGTTACGGGCTGACTCAAGTTGCCGTTTCAGCTACTAGGAGAGCTTTGCCGTCATCCCATCCCAACCATCATCGTTTAATTGGCCAATTACTTCAGCAAAGTACATTCATGCAACACCCACTCCCGACTCCAGACTACTTTCTCTTGATTTGTTTTCTTTCCATTCAATCCGTGACTTTGCGCAACCTATGAAAGTACAGCGAATCCGGCAGAGCATCGCCGAGGCCTAAAAAAAAAAAAAACGCCATACTGAGAAGTGGGACGGTTCCGTTTTGGGGTGGGGCCTTCTCGATGAAGGGTCATGCGATGTTTGCCCGAAGGTTTACACCGGCGGCGGGGCGGAACATTTGTTTTGGTTTCCAAGATCAAAAGGTGTGAAAAAAAAAAAGATCCTTGCTTCCAATTTGGCCCGGGTGTCAGTTAGGAAAGCCTTGAGGCATTTTAGTAATGGTTGTGCAATTTGCTAAATAATTCGACAAAGGAAATTAACTTTTGATTGCACCACCAATTACCTTTAAATGAAGAGGTTTTTTTTTTTTTTTGGTTTGTTTGTTTGTTTTTAATGGGACTTACAAAAGGTTACTGACAATGAGACGATTTGGGGTAAGTAATTTTGAGAATGAAAACATAAAATGCAACCGTGCCGGGCGGAACCCAACGAGACCAGTTGGTCCAAACAAGCTCGTCGGTAAAGCTGTCACTTTTGGCACTCTCGCATGGAGATATTGAGGGTGGGGCCAAAAAAAATTGACCTGACCGCTGTGTTCTTTCTTGAAAAGTTTTTCAACTCATTCTACTTGTGATTGTTTGAATACCTCTTCACTCATTAAAGTCGGATTACATGACGCCCCACTTTTTGCGTAATCAACGCTCATTAACTTCATGTCTGAGGAGCATTTGTCATCCAATTTTCCTCGGCTGGCGCTACAAAGATAGGTAGGCAGATCAGTCCATGGGTCTTAAATCCCTAAATCTCCTGGTGGTGGTGGTGGGGGCGGCGGGGGAACCACAATTTTCCATTTGCGCATCAATTTGCTGTCACTAATGATGAGTCATCCATTCACATTGTGAGCATTTACGAAAGCGCCGTCACCCCGTCGTCTTAAAATACGCCGCATGCGGAGTCGACGTGAAATGCAGCCCTGGCGTGACTCATGCTGAGGCGCAGGCCGGCGGTCCACGCCAACGCTGAGTGGAAGTGCCGCTTGCACCCTATTGCTCCTATTAACACAGTCACATGACGCCCCCCCAATTCCCCCCCCCCCCTCCCACACACACACATACACCACCACTCTAGCAAGCACGCATGCACGCTCACTCACACGTTAGGGATCGATAAATGGCTCAAGGCAGCTGTGTCCATGTGTTTGTTTGTGTTGAGTGTTGGCCACGCCCCCAAAACCATGGACTACAGTCAGTGGGCAGGATGCATTTCTCCAATGCACACAAAGCCGAAGCCCGACGCTGTTTTGTTGAAATATTTGTTGTTTGTCCGACATGTACTGAAAAAAAATCGTGTTTGACCCAGCCGGCAATACGAGCGTACTGGAAATTGGGACTCTTCTGGTCCGATCATTTGGCAGCCATTACAACGGAAACACACAAAATAACGACGGCGCCAAACCAGTCTACTACTTGGTGGAAACAAAGTGAAAGGTCAACACATCACATTCGGTGGATGTTATTTTATTTTTTATTCACTCATTAACATTTATTTTTTTGCTTCACGATAAGCATCCATTGGGCTAAATCAAGAAATCAATAAAGAGGCTTCGAACTGTTGCACACCACTTCCAGCTGAGATTTTCTGTCAAACTAAATGCAAAACAAAAGAGAATTGCGCAGTGTGAATTGAAAACTTAGCGTAAAGCTCACAAACGAAAACGGCAGGCTAACAACAAGACATGCTAGCAGTCAGCACTGATAGCGGCGGATATTTGAACACCAATGACGAAGCAACACATGTAGACAGAGGGTAACAATACTCACAGGCATGTGTTCGACATCCTCGATGAAAAATAAGCTGATATCAAAGCGTCTTACACAGTCGTTTTCAGTAGTACTTGCAGTACAAGGAGAGGTACTATTCTTCTTCACTTGTATCTGCATGACTGTACTTCATGACAGTATAGTACTTGTTACTTTTTACAAATTCAGCAGCGATCATACATTGCTCCCAAATCAATTTTTATTCCAAATATACTTCATTACAAATCATGCAAAAGTGTGTCACACACAAAATCGCACGCTTATATTCCTATATCACAATTATAAACAATCTCACAATGTATACACAAAGCAGGACTCGATGTTGGGTTATTGTTAAGAGGTAGCATGAGGGTAAATTACAATCTTTTTTTTTGGGGGGGGCCTGTGTGATTGTGTGCTGTGAACTGTTTCACTCTGGCTTAACAGAGCCCAGAAGAGCATTCAATGTTGATTTTGTTTTTTTTATTTGCACTGACTGACTGGTTGGGTGACTTCCTCAGTGAAGAGGGCCCCTCACCTGGGAGTAGCTTGTTGATACAAGCTTAAAATGGCCTCGGACAATGTCAAACAATGACAAAAGGCCTGCCGAGCGATCGTTTGCCATTTCCAGGCGCACACGATAGATCGTCTCCCTCGCGTCTCCACACACTAACTCTTGGGGGGTTGGGGGGGGGGCAGTTTCATTTGCGAAAGTAGGCGCGGGGGTCGTTGTCCTCAAGCGGACAATCGGCAACACGTGCATCTGGCGAGCGCTGGGTCGCATCGATAGTCGGCACACGCAGCGCATGGGCGCACAGCTGTGGCTACATGGCCTAGAATAGCACATTCCTCCGTGCGCCCCCTCCTCACAAGGACCCACTTGCTAGCTCACACGGACCACATGTGGACGTGCATAAACAAACATAACTGCAAAAAACAACCCCCCCCCCACACATACACACAAAGAAACATGTTCTTTTTAACAACCCCATTGCCACAATTGGATTCCCCGCTTATTCCTCGTCCACACACACTCAAGGCACGCTCATGTAAGCACCTAAATGTCCTTTCAAGGCTTATGTTGCTTCCTGTGTCTCTTGCAACACACGTCTCATGTCTCCTGAGCAAAAAAAAAAAAGAGGTCAGCTGGCTGCAGGGCCTTTTCCTATTGGGCTCCCTTCTCTCTTTCTCTCTCTCTTTCTCTCTCTCTCATAATCTGGTTGATGACATCACAGCGGCTACGTTTACAGTCAGGCAGCAAGGCTCTGGCATGAATTCAATGGGGGAGTAGAAGAGACTGCCATGTAAACTGCATTTTTGTGACCAGCCAGGTCAGCGGTGGTAAAGAGATGTCTGCTTATATCAAGGTTACAAAAAAACAACAACATCGGAATAAGGTCATATTGCCAGTGAGCAATTACTGTATTAGGACAGGGAGTAATTTAATTTACGGAAGTCATGTTTAGACATTACTGGCTCTAGAATATCAGATCCTTGCTGGTCCAGATCCAAAATGGACTCGATGGGTCGTTTAACCCCAACAATTATCCAACAGGCTTTATTGTTACCCCCCCCCCCCCATTCCTAAAAAAAAACTGTAAAGCACTTTGAGTCATTACTGTGAGAAGACCTGGATAAATAAAATGGACAAACACTGCTGATGGTATTTCTTACTTTTTATTTTTACTCTCTACAGCCCCCCCCCACCCTCCCGCCCCAAAAAATGTATTTTGTAATGTTGCATCTCGGAAGTAAATGACTTGTTTCTATCGATCTACGGAAGGAAAAGAATGTCTGTTTTTCTTTAAAGTGAAACACAGCGGGAGGAGAGTATTTAAATGTCTTTACGGTGTCACCGCTCTGAAGACTGCCCTTTTCTCCGTTACGCCCCTGCACAATTACATTAATGGGCCAATGGGAAGAGAGAAGCCTCACCCCCCCACCACCCCGTTCCCCCGTGACTCCGCCTCCTC